AATTCACAACTGGAGGGAAACCAGAAAGGTGTGCCTGGCTGGCTGGCACTTGTTGAGGATGTAGCTCTCTGGAGTTGGACAAAACCTTAATGAGCTGTTCAATGAGCTTAAACCTTGCACATCTTACTTTCTGTGCATAGGGCAAGAAAAAGCAGAAAAAGGAGTATTTGTTACTGATGGGCACTTCCTGGAAGCAAAACAGGCATCTGCTATGCCCATCTAACTGTGGCATCAGACAATCACAGAGGATTTTGAGTCTCATATTTCCTGTGGTTGGTTTGAAGCATGTTACTCCTTTCTTCTCATGCAACATAACGCTTCTACTACAGCTCTTCATGGAGTCTTTATGAAAAGAGGCAGAGCTGGAATCAGCACTGTGGAGTACTGTTGGGGGTGGCTAGTACAGACAAAAAGCAAAGGAAAGAATAATAGCATTTACACAGGGATTTAATGCTGTTAACTAATCTACTTCAAATGTACCCTTTAGTTAATTCAGATTTTCCCAAATATCCCTGTGTAGATTAAAACACAGAGGGGCAGCCATGTTAGTCTGTAACTTTAAAAACAAGTAGTCCTGTGGCACCATACAGACTAAAAAAATATATTTAGTATCATGAGCTTTCGTGGGCAAAACCCACTTCTTCAGATGAGCTTGAGTCTGTGTAGATTAACATTCACACTTGCTAAACCTTTACAGGGGTGTTATGAAGTTTAGCTAACTAGTTAGACGTTTCAAAAATTTTTAAAACTATTAGATCAAAGACTGTTTATAAGTGCTGTAACTATTATTAAATTATGCTAGTGGAAGAGATAAGTACATGAAGGCTAACTGAGGTTAACATTCACCAAAACTTTGCCTTCTCTTCCAAATTTAAGACAGACTTCCTAAAAGGCTGATCAGATAGCCTCATAGAATTTCTCTCCTTCTCAGCTTTCTGTGAAAAGAGCCTTCAATGACCCATACTCCTATTCCTGTCATCAGCTCAAATTGTTGTGCATTCTCATTTCTGTTCCAAGACAGACTGTATTTTTCTTACTTGATTTTGATCTCAAATGATGGATTTTAATCTACCTTTTGTTTAGAGAGTTTAAGGAGAGGGCATTTACAACAGCTATGTTCCTCTAGTCTCTTCTATTAAGTCCTACTCCAAGGACGCAAGGATCATGCACTTCCCCTTGCTAACAGAATATCAGCACCAAACTAAGAAGTCATGCAAAAACTGTCAAACTTGTCACTATGCTATTCTTAGAAGACTTTTGCAAACATTTTACATTCAAAGGCTGTACCTGAATGCCTAGTGTTTAACATCTATAGAATACATAGGATGAACTCAAAGGTAACAATACTTTGATTCCAATCAGAAAAGGTTTAAGAATGCTACTAAAATGACCAAAGTAGTTTCAAATGCTATTGCTACAGAATGTCAGATAAAAAAATACTAGCACAAATCAGTAGTGCAAAAAATAATTTGATTATTTACATAGCATGCCCATTTTTAAAAAATAGATTATTTAGTGGATGACTCTTGGAGCATTAACCCTTTGTTTCAGTCATTTCTGTACATTTTTACTAGTAGGTTTTGTATTCCTAGAACAGCTCATAGATAAGTGAATCAGGACTATTTCTGAAGGGCCAAACTCAAACAAAAGCTGAGTAAATTAATGTTGCAAGAAGGATGTACAGGGAGATATGGAAGGAAAAGGAAATCCTCATAACAGAGACAGGGCATGAACCAGTTTTGTAGTCTGTGGCAGGGGCTGAAAAGCCTCTGAGTCATAGTGGAGGTCACTACACACGAAGTTCCTTCTACATAAGCCATTGGCCCAGATCATTTGCATGGTTTGCCAAACCACTGGCTACACCTCTCTCCTTTCCTCAGCCAGGAACTTGTCACATGGATTCTCCTATGCAACATTCTACATCTTGTCCCCTTCATGAAGCAAAACCGCATTGGATTTGCCCCTGAGAACATATTTGCATTAGGTTAGGATGTCTAAAAATCCCTTATTTATATAAACAATGGGCATTCTTACTGCTCATATGCTAGTTTTAATAAAATCAGCATTACAGAAAAACAATTCTGCAAAGTAATCTATATAACATTTTATGTAAAACATGAATAAGCTCAGTCCTACACACATACCTGCCATTTGAAAAGACATCCCCTCACAACTACTTAAACAACGTCAATTTCTCCAAATTTGGAAAAAGTCATATTTCTCAAACACAGCTATTTTCATATAATTACTTCCATATTCCAAGAAAGTGGAACTATATAGACAAGTTTATGAGCTGATCTTGCTTTTGAGTGACAGAGAATTGCACAAGATGAGGGCTGTGTGTTTTGCCAACCACTTTTCATTGTGCAGGCATAAAAACTGATTGATAAAGAAAATAAATAGCCTAAATGTGGTAATCATAGTCTTATGCATATTGGGGAAAAAAAACTTGCCATCTTATGTATAGGAAACAGAACATCTCAAGGTTAGGGAAAACAATACTAATGATTTTTTTATACATTATTGATAAAATCACTATTAATATTTGGTTCATTCTGGCCAGTGGTGCTTTTTGAACTTTTAGTGCTTCAGTAAATATGTTCAGGCTGTTTAATTTAGACACTGAAAAGCACACAGTTGTGTGAAGAAATATAAATACAGGTTGACCCTCTAGTCCGGCACCTCAGGACCTGCCTGGTGCCAAAGCACAGGAGGTCAATTCTGTCTAGCAGCATTACCAACATGTTCATTGCTTATTGGTCTCTTAGAAGACATTTAGAGGTAAATAAGTGCACGGAACACTGAAAAGCAGGAGGTGTGGCTGTAAACAAACTTTATGGGACCACAGAAAACTTGGCCACACCCATGAGAAGTGGATATCTGACTAATTAAATTCATGCTGGACCACGGATATTGTCAGATCAGAGAGTTCTAGACTAGAGAGGTTCAACCTGTGTTAATAAGTCCCATGTTGACCATAAATAAATTTACAACTAGGTTATCATTCTTTGGGCCTATTTGTAACATTCAATATTAGCAGGAGTCTGAAAGAAAGTGAGTTTTTACTATAATAAACATACACATCTATGTCTACTTAATTTTATCATAAATTGAAGGGAGAAGCCATACCATGATTAGTGAAACAAATTGTGTAACATTGCAAAACAGTGTCATACCCTAAATAACGGGGCTTTGTTTTCTTTTGCTAGCATTATCTTTCTGGTTTTCTTCTTATTACATCATACTGTACAATATACACCACATATACACCATAAAAATCTAATATTAAACATTGACAAAATATCTTTAAAACAACTGGCCATATGAATTAAAATTGGCAAATTTGCTTGGTCCTTTGCTTTAAGAACTGAAATCAGTAAAAATGGATATTTCAAGATCTTTCTTTTACATATTGCAATGTAATTCTTAGAACTTTAGGGATATAAAGGAAAAAAGGGCTAGGAGATACAAATTACCCACAGCAAACATTATCATGCTCTAAACATGACAAATATTTTTAATATATTCAGATGTTAGGCTGAAATCCTGCAGACATTTAGATCAGACCTACAATTTCTGACAAGTACTTGCCAGTATATGTATTTAGAGAGACCAAATACAGGGACCTGACCGATGCTGAGCCAGAGAATTTGCCGAACCACAGAGGTCAATATTGTAGTGAGTGGGTCTCTATTTTTATTTCACTGAGGCGCTGCCTAATAATGTATGACTGTACTGATATACCCTATATAAGCTTATGCCTAGCCAAAGCTTATCAGTTCTCTTCATAACAAAGTGTGTTAGTGTTAGACAATTTTACTGTATTGGCACAAGGAAATAAATAGATAAAGTATAAAAAACATGCTTAGCTTAGCAGCATTACCAGCACTTCCGCTGCTTGCTGGTCTCTTAGAATACATTTAGAGGTAATTTAGAGCTAAATAGCAGACCTGGTGGCTGTAAACAAAATTTACAAGACCGTGGGAATCTTAGCCAAACCCATAATAAGCAAACCACCAACTAACGAAAATCATGCCAAACCACAGATGTTGCCAGAACAGTGTGTGCCAGCCTAGAGAGTCTCAACCTGTCATGTAAATGTAGGCCAAAATGACCTACATATTTTATTCTATTTTGGCTACAGAATACTTTTTTAAGAAAAATCATTTAGAATGATCTCAAAAGCAAGCTATCATTAGCTGTAGGGAGCATCTCCGCTACTAAAATCTTACTACTGACAAGCATAAATACCAGTTACCCAATCAATTTTACTAGTTAGATGACACCAAATTAAAGTTGTCATCTTTACAATGAAATCAGAATGTTCTCTTTAGCCAATAAGTAAGTTTTTGCTATGTTACATACAATATCATTAATTAGATAGAATAACCTCTTACTGTTAAAAGGTTCGAGACATGTAACACAAAGCCATTTCTGATGGACTATTGTGAAAGGCGATTCTGATTTTGTACCAATCAACTGGCACAAATTACCAGATAATGGATTATCTGTGCTTTTGTCCATATTGGGGGCACATCCCTGGACCACTGGATTTCACCAAAACATCACTAAAGAACACTCAAGCTAAGTTTCTCAACAGAAATAGCTTAAAATAGACAGATCCTGAGCTTCAAATCAATTGAAAGTTTTAAAAGGCAACTTCTTTAAGGATGGTAATATGCTTAATGGAATAATTACTATTTTTCAAAAAAATCACAAATTGAATGTCATATTAGTGTACGAATGGAAGGAGATTTCAAACTCTGGACTACATTCTAAATACAGAATAGGAATACGTGGCCAGAGCAATATGGATCTTGGCTTGTTATCTTTTCAACTCTAATGATCTCAGAACTCTATGGATGGTCACATTTGCTGAATGTATTATAATGCATTAGCTTGTGATCAAACTCTGTTTTGTTGCACCACCCCCATCATCAATGGTATTTTAAAATAACCAGGGAAGGATGGTAAAGGAAGCCAAAAGAAGCATTAAGTACCTGTAAGGTACAGTTCATCATCCGCACTATATAGTCAAACTGCTGGTGGTCCAGTATTGCTCGATTTTGCTGAACATGCAGGCTTAGCTCCTGTGTCAGGCATTGTCGAGCTGCCTTTCCTTTTAGCGCCCTCAATGCAGCAGGCAGGGTCTGCAGACAAGAAATGCTAACCTCATTACAATTATCTGAAATGCCACTGAAATACCGGCTGTCCTTAGTTCTTTGTCAAGGCACTGTAAATAAGAATAGTAAATTAAAAGTCAAATTAATCCCAAATAATTAATATTTCAAATTCTCATATCACATTCTCGTAACAACTGACTTCAAGCTAAAGCAAGAGTTGACTTTCAAGCTCTGACTGTTCTTTTTATATAAACCATTGTTAAACTGCAGACATTTTCTACTAAATTCCAAAGTGGGGGTGTAATGGGGCGTCTGCCCCGCACAGGCCCTTTAAGGGTTAAAACCCAGCCCTGGGAGAGAGCTGGAGCTGAAGGCCCAGTGGCTATAGAAGGTATTAGCCAATTAGGACTTAGCTATAGGCAGTATAAAGGCTCCTGGAGAGGAGGAGAGACTCTCACTCACTCTTGCTCTGGCTATGGAGCAGGAGAGACCTGGCTGCCAGGGAAGCTAGAGGCTTCCTGACAAAGAGCAGGGCTGGGGAAGCTCTGGCCAGGCAAGCTGCCAGGCTGCAGGGCCTGATACAAGGCCTGAGACTACTAGGGCTGCAAGGAGGCAACCATGGTAGCAGAAGGCAGCAGGTCCACACACCTTACCTATGATGAGTGGCCATTTCAGACTGCAGTTTGCCGTTGAGGCAAGGGCTAGATGAAGACTGGCAGTAGGGTCACTGAGGCAAGGTGGGCATAGGAGTTTGAGGGGTTCCCTGGATGGGAGGATCCCAGAGTGTGGGGGCACTGTGGTAGGGCAGTACCCAGATGGGAAAGCATCATGGTCTGGGAGGGACATGGGTCCTAACACAAAGTGGTGGGGAATAACAGCTAACAGCAGGCATGACACCAGCCAGAAGGGTGCGCTCCAGGGCTGAAGAGCTGACTCCTTGAGAGACTTACAGGAGGTGCTGTGGTGGTGAGTCACACCACATTACACGGGGAAAATAATAAACATAAGTAACAAAATGAATATGAAATCAGTCAGAAGATTATTGTGCACAAGAGACACTCTGTCAGAGACACAGCATATGAAGGGCCAGGTCCTGAGACTCTGTCCTGACATATAGTGAGTTATAAAGTTTTTCAGGAAGCAGTGGAACCATGAGTATACTATGCGGATCATCTCAATTAAGTGCCAATAAAAATCTTTGTACCATGCCATGATGTATTCTGAATAAAACTACACATTTTATGGAAAAACAATTTTAAACATATTGGAAAAATTTTATTGGGGTTTCTTCATACCCCTCCATTAGTAAAGCCAAATGGCTTATTTACACAAACTCATATTTACAGGTCTCAAAGGAGAGCAAATTATTATCTACATTTTAGAAATCTACAAATTTCCGAAGGTAACTTTTCTAGACTTAATAGCTAGAAATCACTCCCAACTGATACCATTTTACCGTCTGAATGACTTCTGACATAGTTAACCCACATTCCTATTTCAGGACTTAACACTGTCTAGCATGAGCCACAGATCTGTGAAATCTGAAAGGCAACTTTCACCAGATACAATGAGTAAGGAAGAAAAAACATTTCTGGATCAACTCCATTCTCCCCCTCCATCCCTCTGCTTTAAATTGAGCTATTGGAAGTTGCTCAGAGGTTTGGAGTGTTAGAAATAGTCTAAAAAGAGGTAGATTTGTGTGCACAAAGCAGGTGAGAGACACTTAATTCAAATTATTGCATGGATATCATCACTATATATGTGATACGTGTAAAAAACTGAAAAAATAGTAAAATTAAGGCTCTCTCTCTAATTTGTTTCCTGGCTCAAGGTTACAATCCACTTGGATTTCTATACTGAGTTGTAAATAAAGAAATAAATGCTATGCTGTTGATTTAAAATTTGTGAAATTCCATGGATTGAATCCACAAAAGCTGGCTATATATGAAAGGCAGAAGTAATAAAACTATCAAGGAAAACTGTGATAAGTTACTCGTGAATATTACTAAAACGGAGCCAGTCAAACAGTTAAATATTGTCTTGTGTTCTATACATTACTCTAAATTCTGTTATCACTTTTAAAACAGAGAGGAATTAACTTAGTTGAAAAGTTCAATAGAGCACGCATCTGTTGGCAAATGATAAGATTAAATGACGATGCCTAAATTTAGTTTACTTTCCTCACAACTGGAACAATTAGGTCCAAATGCTCAATGATTTTTTTGTAAACCCAAATGGAAAATAATATGTGATGAATAATCTCTAGATGGCTAGCCACCTCCCCGTCCCGAAAAACAACAACAAGCACACCAAACATTAAAAACAGGTCCCCAGAGGGTGCAATTGGTAACTGTCATATAGTACTGTACTTAGATCATTTGGTGGTCATATTGCTTACCATTACCATTCATTTAAATGACCCAACAGATAGTGAATATTAAAAAACACAAGAAGAATTGTGACAGGGTTTGTCAGGTCATTCAGTCACTTACTATGTGCTAGTTTACCTCAGAGATAGTTTGTGTTTATTAGAAGAGTTAACTTCTTAAAAATTATTATTACCTTTTCAGTCTCCAAAATTTTATTCTCAAATATGAACGAGATGCAGTTTCTAACAACTTCCAGTCTTTGTGCACTGTTGAAAACTGTATTGGTCTTTTCCATTATGGAAACTAACAAAGAAAGATAAGTACACACAGATGTGAAACAGTTTCTATGTCAAAGCTACAAATAGTAATTAGACAGTACTAACACGGCTTCAAGTCTAAATTTTATTTTGCTAAATTGATTGTCATTATTAGGCTCATATGAGAAGGAATTTGCAAACTGTTAAGTAGCCTCTAAAAACAAGTTATTGCTCACAATCTTGCTTTTCTTACGTTACCATTATACAGGACAGCCCACGGTTGGTTTGATGGTGGTGCCTCTGAGTTTTAAGTGGAGTATTTATTTGCTTATTTTGTTTCATATAAACAACCAGACTCCAATCCATAAAACTAAATTAGTAGTAGTAATATACTAATTGAGTCTGGATTTCAAGATGTGTACAGGTCTCGAAGGAAAGCAGATTTACATCTAAATTTTAGAAATATTTACCAATATGTCATGAAAAAAGTGAATTCATGATGCTATCATTTATTTTCCTTTTACTGTACAAGGATGGATATCACAAAGTTACATGAGGCACAACAGTTTAATTATTTCAAGTTGCACTTCTCTTTTTAAACCTTCTGCCCTTCCTGGCTTCTTGTCTTAATCTCTCTTCCTTGAATTGTCCATATACACAGATTATTTTGGAAGTATTACCAAGCCATTTAATAATGAATTTATGTAGAACTTTTCTTCAGCTCCAGCTGAGCCATGTATTTTTTTACACTCACCACACTCAGTTATAAACACTTCAAATTCCTGCTTGTAACTTCCCTTTCCTAAAGTTATAATCTCTCTGACAACCTCACTGTTATGTATACTTTGCATTTTTTGCCTTGCTGCAAAAGAATACAACCATATCTATTATCACTCCTAAATTTTAAATCCAGCAAACTTCAGTAGTTAATTAAAACAGATCTTATTTTTGTGCCTGATGTAGGTTAAGCAACTGCATAATTCCATATTTGCCTGATTTTTAAATAAAAAATCATAAAGCATTTATTAAATACAATGACTGTTCATTATCCACTATTTCAGCCATCCTGTACATTGAAACAAGCGCAAAGCAGACACTCAAATCTTTCATGCAATCTGATGCTCATGTATTTCATCCTACTTAAACAAAGAGATATTCATCATTTTACAAGAGGATTCTTACACTCAAAAACAAGCAAATCAATGAACCCTGACAAATATGTGTTGTACTAAGATCCAACTCTTGATTACATGATTGAATAATATATGATTCCTTAAAGCAGGGGAAACTAAAGCTGTTTCAAAGAATTTATAAAACTGGATCACCCACAACAAAAATCCTAAGAAGAATCAAGAATCAGGTGGTGAAGTACTGGAATAGGTTTCCTAGGGAGGTGGTGGAATCTCCATCCCTAGAGGTTTTTAAGTCCTGGCTTGACAAAGCCCTGGCTGGGTTGGTTTAGTTGGGGTTTGTCCTGCTTTGGGCAGAGGGCTGGTCTCAATGACGCCCTGAGGTCTCTTCCAGCCCTCGGATTCTATGATTTAAAAGATTTTATCACTTGATATGCAAGTTTACAGCTCAGTTCTACCTAGATTACAATTTGTTGAATTCTGAAGATTCTTTAATAGATAATCCAACATTCCCTTGCTCTCACCTCTTCCTCCATCATCCCCTCATCAAAAGTAAAGAGAATACCATAGACATGAGAGCAGAATGTGCCTCTCTCTCTCTTCCTCCAGTACCTATGGGTACATCTACACTACAGCATTATTTCGAAATAAAGTATCTACAAAGCAAATCCGTTATTTTGAAATAATTTTGAAATTATGGGCTTCTTACTCCAGAATAAGAAACTCTTGTTTCATGAGGAGTAATGCCTATTTCGAAATATGGTGTGTGTAGACAATGCAGCTGTGGTTATTTCAAGTAACTGGCCTCCCGGGCTTCTCACAGCTGTCCTGGTGGCTACTCTGTCCACACCCATCAGAACTCTATGATTCCCCTTCCCCTGCGGCCTTTAAAGGTGCAGCCACAGGGGAAAGGGCTTGTGGCACAAAGCAGACCCTGCCAGCCCTGTGCCACACTGGAGCACCCTGCTCTGTCTTCCCTGCTGCCACGGCAGACCCTCGTGCTCCCACTGAGCCCTCCATGGCTTCAAGTGAGCTGGCAGTTAGCTCCAAGCCCCTGCCAGGGGGTAAAAGAGGAGGGCACCATCCTGGTCTTGTGCAGAGATCTTAGACCCATTGAGGTCTGGGGAAAGGAGGCAAACCTCCAGAATCTCCATATCAAGTGAAGGAATGCTGATATTTACAGCCAGATGGCTGACAACCTGGGCCAGAAGGGACACATGTGCACACAGGAGCAGGTGCACAAGAAAGTGAAAGAGCTCAGGCAGGCCTAAAGCAAAGCCAGAGGGCAAAGATCCCATGCAGGTGTAGCACCCCAATTGTGCCCGTATTATGAGGAGCTCCACTGTATCCTGGGAGGAGGGAGTTGGTCTCTTCCCCCCCTTGTTGTGGAATTTGGACTGGAGATGCCTCTCATCAGCCTTCCGGAGGGCAGGGCTGTGAACGAGGAGAACAAAGAGCAGGAGGAGGAAGATGATGATGCCAGCCAGGAGACGATGCCCACCAGCCAGGAGGTCAGCCTGTCTCTGGAGCCAGTACCTCCTTCCCAGAATGTCACCCAGGGCTTGGATGACACCAGGGAAGGTGAGCTCCATTACTTTCCATCATACACGTTGGGGGAGGTGGTGGACTGCAAGGGACTGCATACTTCTCGCATGGTCTTCTCAGCCTGGGGATCACACAGCAGCCTGTGCACGTGGTGCACCAGTCCAGAGCACACAACCGCATGGTGCTGCCATACAGGACCTTGTACTCCTGCTCACAGCATTTCTGAAGAGCCCTGCCTTACTAACGTCCCATGGTGGGACACCTTCCCACTACTAGCCACCAATAAGGAGGCTGGGGTCAGGGAAACACACAGCAGTGACACACACGGCACAGGCTCATGGCTGCACTCTTGGGCAGCGTCCACTTCTAGGCAAGCACATCAAGACAGTGGACACCGAGCCTCTGCATGGGAATCTGCCAGGGGAGGAAAAGAAGGGGACCCCACAGTAGCACCATTCCTGCCAAGCAGCATCTGCTGCTCACACCCCCAACTTCCTACCCCCCTCTCCTTCAGTGGCCAGGGATAGAAGTCCTCTCCGTGTGGGATGCTGCCACTGCCAGACCCATAATATGTGAGTCATGGAGGGAAGGAGAATTGCCCCATCACCCCCACCTCCCCACCCACAAGCTCCTGGCCTGGCCGGCATCTTCCCATGCCTACTTGTCTCCAGGGTGTGGAGGTAGCAAGATTCCCCTGGGACATATGTGCCCCTGCAGGAAAATGTTCACTGTCTAGGCAACAGATGGCCTTGCTCAAAGCACATTCCCTTCGTCTGAACAAAGACCTTTTGGTGTCAGCTCACACATTAGGGCTAGGATTCATGCACCCTGTCTTCTGGGATGACTGCCATTCTCTTTGTCACAGCTGGACCAGCTGTGAGTGAGATGCTTCCACTATCTCCTGCACCATCCTCATGACTCTGTGAGACCTGCAGTTGCCAGCAACCCCAGGAAGATCTAGAGAGAGAACACATTGACTGCCTGCATGACCTGCAGTGGTCTCTGGAGTGGCAGGACCACAGTTTGGATGCAACCTGGAGTTGCAACCTGGAGCAGGCAGGAGTTGTTGCAGCAGGTCCAGAACATGTGCATGTCACATACCAGTGCCATCAACTGCCTGGTGGCTGACATTAAGCGGTCCAGCAGTCCACCCACCTCACTCCTGCTGCTGGTGCTCTGGCTCCTCCCCTGAGGACCTCTCCCATGGCTGCCGAGGGCCCTGTACATGAGGCAGGCACCACTGCCAGCCCCATTCCTGAGCCTCTTCTCCCCTCTCCTCCTCTCACCCAGGTTCTTTCCCCAGTCATATTTACACCAAATTAAAAAAATATATATTCTTTCAAAAAAAAGTGTTGTTTATTGTGTCTGGAGGGGTGGGGAAGGGGAGAATGGTGGGAAAGAAGGAGAGGGGGAGGAAAGTGGAAAGGGAGGGGAGGGTAAAGGCAGGGTGTGTGGGGGAAAGGCATGGAGAGGCAATACAGAGGCCCCTTGTGGGTGGCCCAAGGAACAGTCTCACAGGTGTCCTTGTCTGAAACTCTCCCTCGGGGCCTCCCAGATGCCCACAGCCCCCTGATAGACCTGCTAGATGGCAGGGGTGCCTGGCTGCTCAAAGGCCCTTACAAGCTGCTTGGCCTCGGCTCCCCACCCTGGCAGGAACATCTTCCCCTTGTTCTCGCACAGGTTGTGCAGGACACAGCAGGTCAACACCAGTTGGGGGACGTTCTGCTCATTGAGGTCAAGTTGTGTGAGGAGGCAGTGGAATCTACCCTCCACCATGATGCAGACCCTGCTCATCCTGCCATTGAAATTTTCCTTCATGGGGTCCAGGTGTCCTGTGTAGGGGCTTCATCAGCCAGGGGATCAAAGGGCAGGCTGCATCCTCCACAATGCAGATGGGCATGTCCACGTCCCTGACCCTAATGGTGTGGTCAGGGAAAACAGTGCCGGCGTGCATCCTCTGGAGTAGGCTGGAGCTGTGGAATATATGTGGGCATTGTGCACCTTCCCTGACCACTCAATGTTGATGTTGATCAACTGGCCTCAGTGGTCCATGATGACCTTCAGGAGTACCCATAGTGGCAAAGCCAGTGACAATGGAGTCCATGTCCTCCAAGATGATGATCCCCAGCAGCAGGATAGTGCTGATGGCCCTCACTACCAGTAGGATACAAACAGAGAATCACAGGGTTGTCAGAGCTCTTGGGAATTCCATGAGCTCAATCCCCTTCCCACACCAGGCCCAACCCCAACTTAGCCCATCCCCAGCAGGGCTTTGTGAAGGCGGGACTAGAAAAACTTTTAGGGACAGAGATTCTCTCCCTTTCCCTTCCCTAGGGAATCCCATTCCAGTAGTTCACCACCCTCCAAGGGCAATAGCAAGAGAGTCATGTCTGTGTGAGCACATCCCATGAGATGGTTGATCTCCCAATGCCAAACTAGTTCCTGATAGAGCAGCAACTGTCCAGCGTGGCAAGCTTATGAAGTGCAATACTAACATGCTTCTGAAGGGGATGATGGATCTCATGTGGGTGTCTTGTCGCGGGAGGGCAAGAGCAAGCCACTTGCACAGCTTCATGAAGGCATCCTTCTGTATACAGAAGTTCTGGAGCCACTGCTGGTCATCCCACCACTCCATGATGATCTGGTCCCACCAGTCAGAAGTGGTGTTCAGTCACCAGAAGCGGTGGAGCATGGTGATCAGGCGAGAGCAGGAGGGGCTGTGCTGCATGTGCAGCATATGGAGAGAGGTGAGGAGGTGCCCTGCAGTGAGTTGCAGGTCCTGTTCCTGCAGTGCCATGTGGGCAGCATGTAGTAACTGCACCAGGAGGGCGGCATGAGGTCTAAGAGCCAGCCAGTGCTTTGCAGCAGCTTCATGGCTGGAATGCTGTGGTGTCCGCAAGGGCAACCAGAGTATGCAGTGAGATGAGTTTGCTGTCCCTCAAAGATGTAGGAAAAGATGAAGAGTCTGAGACAGGGCTGTAGAGGGGACATGAGCATGAACCTCAGATAGCTTCAGGAAGTGACTGCTGTCCTGATGCCTTGCCCAGAGTGCTTCTGGAGGGCCTTAAATGTGATTCAACGTCTAATCAGTGTGCATGTCCTATTTTGATATAGATCTGCTCTATTTCGATAAGCATTTTAGTGTGGACAAGCTAGTTTGAAATAGTTATTTTGGGAATTAGTATTACAAAATAGCTTCCTTGAAATAAGCGTGTAGTATAGACGTACCCAATGGGTACTGATGTAGCCAACATGAGAAAGGGGAGTTAATATACAAAGCTGTTCAGTAGAAAATCTATAGTACAATCAGGCAAGTTCCTGATTTCTTTGGGAAACTCTCTCTGTATTTGTTCTAAGAAAGTTTATAGTAATGCCTAGCTCTTATAACACACTGATTGAAAAGACACATGGATTTTACATAAATTCTGAAACCAACCACTACGTAAGTGCTGAACTGGGAATAAGAAATTTGATACATTATTATACAGTATTTTCAATTTGTTGCATTATGAATTCTCTTCTTACCTTCCCCCATCTCTCAGTAAAACATTCAATTAAAACACATTGTAATGAAAATAGATGTTTCCACTGATGCTAATATAGATTCATAAATACATTGCGGATAAAAATACAGCATACCAACAGGAGGACCAGCAGGAACCACACACTTCTTTTCTACTCGAGTTGCAAGTGGTACACTTTGGTTCTTAAACAGGCCTTCTTGAATTAGTTCCTGAACCCGGCTGTCATTAATTTTGGGGAAGGGAAGGATATGAACTCGTAAATGGGATCCTTCAGTGGGCCGCAGAACTTTCTGGAATGCCATATGAGGATTTGGATTCTCCTGTAACCAAAAAAAGTAACATCTTACACTAAAATAGTTATTTTATATTATTAACTCTTCTTATAGAAGCATCAAAATATCTTACAACACAGACAAAGAGTAATCTCTGAGTAGTCACTCAGTAGGCGAAGTTGGCAGATGTTCCCTGCTACTGCAAAAGGCCCGAATCTTTTTAACAGTAACAGGACATTTTAGCATCACATTAATCTTTGCACAAGTACAAAAAACCTGCTACTTTTTGCAGGTATTGAATACTTGTTGAAAAAGCATAAAGCTCAATTTCATTGACATTTTGGATGTCCCTTAAGCTTAAAGAATAAAAACTCTACATACTCCAAATGTCCTTAATACTATCAATTTAGGATTGAATAAGGATCTTAGTAGTTAAGACATTACAAAGCCTATTTTGCGTGTCTTAATATCTACGTTGCCATATCAACTGCTGTGAATGAGCCACTTCCACTCTGACTTGATTAGACTAATTTACACAAGTACTCTCTTTCTTTTTCCTTTCTATATATTTTCGTACACACAGTGTAAACTCCACTTCAAATGACCTGATGAAGCAGGTTTTTACCCATGAAAGTTTATGACCTAATAAACCTGTTAGTTTCTAAGGTGCCATAGGACTTCTTGCTGTATTTGCAGATATAGACTAACAAGGCTACCCATCTGACACTATTGTTAAGTTCCAAATTCTCATCAGTCCAATCACCTTAACTGTACATTTTTTACGATTTTAAAGGATTTCATTAACTGTTTAATTCTGGGTCAGCTCACATGATGTTGAAACTCCAGAGAAATGTCACAGAATGCTCGTCAGCCACACAATTTTACAAAATAACTTTTTGTTGGCATTCAAAGCAACTCAGAGGAGAAAAGAAGAAACTGAACATGACAGCTTAAATTAAGCCAGATAAACGTACTTTCATGTTTAACTGACATTTAAATGGTAGGTAACCAAAACAGCCAACCCTTTCACTACTGGAAGGGTTAGAGGAGTGGTGTGATACGCAGCCATTTCACTATGTTGAGTATCCTAAATGACTCCAGGCTCATAAACATGAAATAGAACAGTTTCTTAATCCTAGAGTAAGAGTGCATAAAAACGTGTCCTTTCTATATTAATTACAAGATATATAACTTCTTAAATGAATACAATTAGAATTTCACCCTCAGTATAAGTTTCAGGTTTCCTCTGCCCTCTTGTAGCACAGGAGAACAGACACTGCATATTGAATCTTTTTGCAATTCCAAGAGATTTTCTGTTTTTCCACTCAAGTCTACATCATTATAGCAAGGGTACGTGTTGAGTGGTTACATATATGTGGTAAATAACTGACTTTCCTCCTCTGAGCAAGGTAAGAACAAGTGGAATCCTTGCTCATTCACTGAAATTTGAAGAGTAGTATCTTCTGCAGACAATATTAGAGAGCTAGAAAGAGGAGTGTTTCAGTAACATCAGTATGAGGACTTTGATGAAAGAGTTATTTTGGTCTGTGGTACAAAAATACCTGGTTTCTGCCCATTATGTTGCAGAAACTGGATTTTCCTTGCTGCTTTTATGCCCTTGCCCTGCAAAGTATCTCCATATTGTCAGCAGAAGGAGCATTTCAAGAGTACAATACATAAATATAAAATTAACAATGTGAAAATGCAATTTTGTGTAATATACTTTACCAGGTTTGTGTAACATACTTTACCAGTGAGCATGTCTCTAGCTACTAAACTCTTACCTGCATATAATCCAAGAGATTAGGACTTCCACTACTTCCTTTAGGAAGGCTATTTCACAGTGCAACAGATATTACTACAGGTTCCCAAACCAGAGAATTTGCCAAACCACAGGAGGTCAATGTTGTCTAGCAGATTTGCCAACACTTCCACTGCTTACTGGGCTCTCAGAAGACATTTAGAGGTAAATTAGAGCTAAATAACAGCACAGAACACTGACAGCCAGGACTGGTGGCTGTAAGAGAAGGTTACTCATCTTGTGCAGTAACTTAGGTTCTTCGAGATGGTTGTCCCTGTTGATGTTTGAGTGCTGCTGTGATTCTAGTCAGAGATTTAAGATAGCAGTGCCCTTGGTAGGCTGTGCACACGGAGCCATCGGCATTCGCCATTTGGAGTGGCTATACCACATGCGCATCTAAGCGACCCTTCAGTTCCTTCTCTGACCCCGAATGAGGTGTTCTGAAGCACAGAGGAGGGCGGGTGGTGGAGCACCCACAGGGACAACCATGTTGAAGAACTCCAGTTACTGCACCAGCTGAGTAGCCTTCCCTTCTTCTTTGAGGAGCTTTTCTGTGGGTATTCCATCTTAGGTGATTATTAAGCAGTAGACAAGCTTGGTGGAGGGAACTTTGGCATATCTACTTTAATCAAAGACAGAACAGTGTTTCTGAATTTGTGTAGGGGGCTGAGTAAATCTCTAAAATATAATATTTAGTGTTGGACAGGGAGATGTTCTTAAGGAAGGCTGTAGAAGCCATAGAGTGAGCCTGCACCATTGCTGAGAGATCTCCATTAAAAATGCAGTAAGAGAGGCGAATGCACTTGGAGAGCCACTTGGATAACCTCTGCTTATAAATAGCCAAGCCTGGGGGCCCAATTAAGCTAATTGAATGGCATGGGCATTGGAAGGGGTAACCATTGAGGGGATTGCTATTGAGGTGGCTGCTATGGTGGTCTCAGTGAGGAGTGGTTAGGGGTGTAGACTCAGAGAAGAGTCTTCTTCCTCGTTGCTTGAAAGCAGAGGTGCTGATCCCACTAGCGGGGCTGACAAGCTGACGTGGGAGGTATCTGGAGTGCAGTCGGTGCTGAACAGTGGTGTTCTTGGCACCAAGGTGACTAAGAGGTCCGCACAGGTAGTAAAAGTCTGTGGTACTGGGAGGTTTGGTGCCAGCATCAGTGCTGCAGTGGGTATATCTCCCAGACCCGGTGTGAGCTAGGACTGAGCTGGGCTGCTGGCTAGCCTGCTAAAAAAATTTCTGGTAGGGGAAGGGGGAAAAACACACAGTGTCAAAAATGCACTAACTGATAAATTTTCTTATCCGTTAATCAACCACACCTGCGTTTCTCAAACTGTGGGCCCCGACCCCCCAGGGGGTTGCAAGCAACTTAGAGGGGGGTCGCAGTATCACAAGCCTCTCCAGACCCCACTCCTCTGCAGTGAGGGGAGGGAAGGCAGGTGGCACCACAGAGACGGTGCTGGGGGAAGCAACTTTTAAGCTGGCTCTCCCCAGCACCACCTACTACTTTCCCCGCCTTGCTACCTGTGATAAAGAGGTGGGAGGGGGGGATGCAAGTAATCAATTAATCAACTTGACTACCTGATAAGCCTACTCTTAGTGGGTAGTCGACTACTCACTTACATCCCTACTCTGCACCTCACTACCCAAATTACTCTCTGAGCCTGGGTATTTACAAATACCAGTAAATGTCTACCACAGAATCTATAAGGAAAGCTTAAAAAAAATAAGTGCGAGAAAAGTAGAATGGCGGGGGGGGGGGACAGTTTTCAAATGTTATAAGGACTGTTATAAAGAGGATGACAATCAATTATTCTTCATGTCCACCAGAGGTAGGACAATATGCAGCAAGGGAGATTAGTTTAGAATTAGGAAATACTTTTTAACACAAGAATAGTGATAGAGATGCAGCCATGTTAGTCTGGTCTAGCTGAAACAAAAGACAGGACTATGCAGCATTTTAAAGACTAACAAGATGGCTTATTGGGTGATGAGCTTTCGTGGGCCAGACCCACTTTCACATATTGATCTGAGGAAGTGGGTCTGGCCCACAAAAGTTCATCACCTAATAAACCATCTTGTTAGTCTTTAAAGTGCTGTATAGTCCTGTTTTTAACACAAGAATAGTTAAGCTGTTGGAATAGATTACCAAAGGAAGTTACAGAATCTCATTATTACAGAGTTTTAAGAACAGAGTGCACAAACAATTGTCAAGGATTGACTAGGTTCCTGCCACGTCCTGCCTAAACATACAGGGATGGACTAAATGACCTCTAAAGGTTGCTTCCAGACCTACACTTCTAGGATTATATGTGCGCCTTATGCCTTAGTGGTCACCAAGTCAAGGGCCTAGAAAAGACATCAAATGTCAACTCCTTTTGAAATTGAGCGGATAAAGTGTACCAAGACCATTGAACAGCCCTTTAACCAATCAACTGCGATGAAATTAAATTTATTTTAAAGTATAACCTGTAATCAATTTAATAAAACATGCTTCAAAATAATATTATTCCAAAATTGTATTAGAACACTCTCATGGGGCCTTGCACACCTATCCGCAGTCAAATCTGACTCCCAGCCAGCGGGTAGAACAGAATGTTTATCAGTCGACAGGGACACAGGGAAAATAATAAAATTTAGTGTTTAGCTTTATGAAGACAAATTCTCAATGGAATCGAACAGGACTGGGCAGTCCTGATATCTCAAGACTATAAGGTAATAAGTGTTAACATGGAGCATATATACAGTGTGGATGTATTATAGCCAAATCCTAAAGTCTCAGATATTTCTATGGGAGGTTATTAATACTTACTATACCCCATACCTTTTTTTTCAGACGATGCCAGTGTATTTTATATTATATTGAAACAACATGTGTGTCATGTTATAACTCTGGTAATGGAATGTTAAAATAACAACATAATGAGGTCAGTCTTTAAAAATAGTAAATTTTCATTTTTCCAGCCAAATGTATCAAATTTGGCTGCATTGAAAGTACTGTTCCAGTGTAGTATGATTAGTCTTTCATTTCCATACCTTTTACTATTACCATAATAGAGGAGGTCCTGTTAAAAGCAGCAGCCAAAAGATAAAAAATCCCAACAACAAATAAATGGAAATGTTTCAGAGGCGTAGCCGTGTTAGTCTGTAACTGAAAATAGTTCTAAAGAGTCTAACAAAAAATGTAGGTGGTACCATGATGATGGTATCATCTGAAGAAGTGGGTTGTGCCCACAAAAGCTCATGATACCATCTACATTTTTTGTTAGTCTCTAAGGTGCTACAAGACTATTTGCTCTTTTTTTAAGTGGAAGTGGATGGTTCTGAAGTTGGAAAGTGAGATACCTTGCTCGTATTTTTGCCTCTTAATCATTAGCTTTAAATCCATCCCAGATAAGTAGTAATCAAATGCCAACACAAGCTGATATCTGTTTATACTGTGAAGATTAGGACTTTAACAAGGCTCAAAAAAGAGCTATATAGATTAATGGAGGTTAGGTCCAAAGGAGATGGGAGCAGTAGAGGCGCTGGTTGGAAAAACCCCATGCTGGAGCCAGGGAAGACAACAAAAGATGTCATCTGGTGGGTGGTATGGGAGATCACAGAGTTACCTGGGGATGCTGGTGTCTAATGGAGAAGGGGATATTGGTAGTATTTGCCGGGAGGGTATAGGATTTACTAAGCCAGTCAGAAGCTTGGATTGTTAAGGCAGCAGCATGGAGGTGGAGTAAGGATTAGTCACTATCAGGGAGGCAGGAGGCAATGGAGGATGGTGTCCTGAAAAACACAAAATATGCATGGGACAGTTTGGGGTGGAGCTGGGAGTAAGAAATGGAGGAGATGAGACTTGGTTGTTGAACTGATTTGGGAAGCAGGGCTCCCCTGGGGAAGCATGCACAGGAAAGACAGATTGTGCTGAACTGGGGGGCACAGGGTTTGAAAGACAGAGATGCTGTGAGTAAGGATGATAAGGACTAGTTAACTATCCGATAAGCAAATGCTTATCGGATAGTCAGTAGACTAGTCGACTCCCCCTCCTTTCTGCCTCTATCAGAAGAGGGGGTACTTCAAAGAGAGAGAGGGTACTTCAAAGCGGCAGTGCCGTACAGCTGAGCCCGGGATCACGGGAGTCCCCAGCTGACTTTGGGTTCTGGGGAAATGCCGCACGGAGCCCAGGATCAGCTGGGGAGTCCCCTGATGACCCCGGGCTCTGCGTGGCATTTCAAATGGACAGCGCAGCATTGAGTCCTGGATCAGCAGGGGACTCTGAGTCCTCTGCTGACAAAGGGCTCCATGCAGGTGCTTAAGTTTTGAAATGCACAAGACCCCCCCCCCCCCCCTGCCCCCGGGACTCTTGTACATTTCAAAGCTGGCCCCCATGCAACCCAGAGTAAGCAGGACTTCCTCCTGGCCCTGAGCTGCACGCAGAGTTCCCCATTCCTCCATTGAAATGTACAAGAGCCCCAGCAGGGGCTCTTGTACATTTCAAAGGAGGGATGTGAACGTGCCTATCAACTAGTTGAGTAGTTGCTGGAAATTCCATTGACTTCTCAACTAGAAAATTAACCACTAGTTAACATCCTTAGTTGGGAGGCAGTGAGATGGGGGAGATATGGGGAGGCTATACTGGAGTAACAAAAACATCTTAAAAACATTAAGTGATATATGTTAACTAAGAAGGGTGCTACAGTGCATGGCTGAAGGGAAAGTTAACAATAATATTAAGTTACTTCAGTTTTGCTGGTGGATAATACAATTTAACGTTTCAAAGGCTTTAGCCAAAATACAAAGATGACTGCCACACGGAGACATTTTTTTTCAGTTCTACAGACCATAAAATATGTTACTTTAGTGAAGAATTACTGAAAGATTCTATAGTACAGTATAGCTATGGATATAATACACTTACATTTTTGAACAGCTGTTCTGCAAGCTCTCTGATGTGCTTTATCATCTTTGGTGGATTGCCCTCCTCCGTTTTAATTCTTTCCACTTCAAAAGCCACCAACTTTAAAAAAATTGCAAAATATTTAAAAATCAACTTTGCTAACACACAAAATACATAATATTAATCTTAAACTGAAAGGTGCACAGAAAATTGGAAACAGAAAAATCTCTTATGTTTCTGGGAATCAGTGCTCCATTTCCGAGGTGAATTACAGGGATATTCAGTTTCCTCTGAAGCTTTAGGTATAAGGCAAATCACAGTTCCAGAGACAAGATACCAGACTTGCCGGAGCTAAAGACCAATATGGGGCAATAAACCCATGTTTCTGCAATATTCATTTAACATTTATAATGCAACATGCTGTGTTTCAAAACCTACCACATAAAAACAATACAGAGCCATATCAGTAATATGTAAAACATTTAAGTTTAAAGAGCACAGCTAGTCTGGATAAAAAATTTACTGTGTTTGGTCTTTGTAGTCATGAATTTAAAACTGCAGCTCTCGCAGTGGCAACATTGACGATTCCACTGTGCCTTTTACAAGAGATGTTTTCCTCAGTTTCCTTTGCCAACTGTGTACTTAATTTATTAACATTTCTCAAAAATATTACTTCTGCAAGATTTTTTCTAAAAATACAATCCAATTATTCAAAATAATTCTGCATTTGCAGGTGGTATCAGTACATAGAGTTCCAGGAGGAACCATAACAACATTTGGTCAGAGCCCTGCAATGACTTACATACATGCTTACCCTGAGGTATGTGATTATCCTAATCACTTAATGTGTGTAAAGTTAAGAATATGTATGGCAGCAGGGCTTAAAAGATCATATGTTTTTAGACAATTTACAAAACATGTTTGTTGTAATTATATTAATTTAATACAATAAGCTTCAGAAGTTTATCAATTATCACTTTTCTTCATTCAGAAGCATTTATCTATGTTTTAGCTGTCTTTTCTAATATAACATATTTCCTAAAGAACAGAATTTTTACCTCATCAAAGAGATCACAGGATCTGTAGGGAGGACCCCTCTCTGACACAAAACCAGCAAATGCCATTCCATTGAGAATTTTGGTGAGAAAGTCATTTTCAATTAAGCCTCGCTGGCCCAAAAAGGCTGCCTGCAGTGAACATAAAGAGGAATTGATCACTATAATTTAAAAGTTATGGAAACAAACAAGACAATTTAATCAACTCCAGGTATATGAATAAGTTAAACCTTCTGCTGCTTACAATAAGTGTGACATGTTATAAGAGACAACTGCTGTAAGCTATCTTTATTCAATAAAAATAAAAGATATTGGGACTGGAACATTATCCCTCTCCACATGCATACTTTTAATAATCATTCAAAAATCTTTTAGCAAAAACCTCTTGGTAGGCAAAATACAAAATAATTTTAGTACATATTAAGTTATTTTTTTTAAAAACTATAGGTAAAAATTCATTACTTCCAAAATTGTTTTTTTACTTTATATATTAACATGCATTCATTGCTATGGATTTTATATTAGACAAATCTGTTTGTATAAATGCAACATTAAATGTGCCTGTTATACTGCACTGTACAGTACGTTCTCAATAATACTGTTAATCATATATATGAAGAAACTTTTATATGTCACACACACAATTAAATTCGTCACACATACAATTAAATTCCAAGATTGTATACTTGAAGCTGGTTCCAAAAACAAGTATATGAGACTGATATGAATTCAAATCATATGTGAAATATTCACTAAATACAGATAACCTTTTTTCTCTTTTACCTTGTGAAAATGTATGACTGGTTCAGCATGAATTCTGATCAGCTGAAGGCATGACCTGTATCCTTGGAAAAGTTGTGCAAACAATCTAAGGAAAATTGCTCGCACTTCTTTATCCTGTAAATGATGATCAGATAGGGTATAAAAAACTTTTCTAATACAACTCTCCACAACCATGAAGTATAAAACTATATCACAAACATTTGTAAAATGTAATAATCAGCTTTCTCAGACAATATCTGAAAGACTACAGCAGTGTAGCAGCCAATTGGAGAATGACTGTGTGTGTGTGTGTGTGTGCGCGCGTGCGAGTGAGAGAGAGCCATTGAGTTTGAGCATTATGCTCATTACCGCCAATCATTTTTTGTTATTTCAGATTACTATGATTTATCTCAGCTAAAACCAGACTCAGTACAATTACTCTTCTTGTACCTAACCTGCAGGTTGGTCTTGGATTTAATTTTACAATAAATCTCAAATGCACTTTAAAATATGACCTTTGATTAGAAAAATACAAGCACAAATGAATTCCATACCACAGTGAATCAAATTATTAATCTATGACATTACGATTTAATCCTTAAATGGATTGTTTTGAAAGCAGACCTTCATGTTTCACAAAAGATTCTATGAAGAACAACTATTTTTTTAGATGCTAGCTCTGAATTTCATTAAGAATGTGCTCAGTGTTGATCTCTCCACTTACAAATTAATTTAGGATTCAACAGAGGCTGCCTTTATTGGCAGATATACTATTTGTTTCACCACAGTTCACCCCAAGTAGTTTATAGTAACTTGTACAAAATATAAAAGTAATATATACAGGTGCCCAAGACAAAATATTATGTGTTTCTTATATAACATAAAAATTATACAGAATTAGATGCATTGACACTGTAATACGCACTACACTGATTTAAGACTGCACCCCAGCCAGTGAAATGACTTCAGGGTTGAAAAATGTATCTTTTAAGGTGAATCTAGAAAAACAGGAAAAGAGTACACCATTTGAGTGAAATTATGCCATTTTTATCTCTACTAACGATTTTCATTCTATGTCTTAGATTGCATTACATCCTCCTCTTTCCAAGTTTTTGTTCACCAGAGCCAAATGCCACCTTAAGAAGCTAGAATTATCTTTGTGGGATGTAAATATACCATGCATATGTACAAACATAAAATATACTTAGTTTACTGTGTTGTTATGAAATAAAGGGTCCCATCTCCCATTTTTTCAGTAAAAACAGTGCTGTAGCTGCTAGATAGCCTATGGGTATGTCTACATTACAGTGTTATTTCAAAATAGTTATTTTGAAATAATGCGTCTACACACAAAATGCATTTCAAAATAGCATTTTTCTATTTCGAAATAGCGCGTCCACACTGAGTGGACTCTGAATCGCATTTAAGGCTGGCCGGAACCAGTTCCGGCAGGGCACCAGGTCAGGACCTACTGTGTGGGGCTGCTGCCTGAGGCTATCTGAGGTCTATGCTTAAAGATCTATGGACAGCCAGTTCTCAGGTTTCCCTGCTTGCTTGTCTCCTTCTATGAGGGACAGCAAAGCATTTTGTCTCTGCGTGTTCAGGTTGCCTTCACTCAGGACACTACAGCACTCTGCAACATGGAGCCAGAGTTGCCCCTGGGCACTCTGGTGCTTCTCTTGGATGCGTTGCTGTGAACCTGGCTGCACTTTCTGCAGGATGCCATCTGGGAGATCCATAGGGGGGCTGTCAATATCCAGGAGGCCCTGCGGAAGAGCTTCCACCCTGAGGAGCACAAAGAGCCTCCCTGGTCTGCCCCACTGGGGGCTTGTGCCTCATTCCTCCCTCACGTCCTTCCACTTATCCCTCCCTAACCCCCCTTCCTGATGTCAAATATAATACACGTATTTTCATGAACACAAATTCTCTTTATTTAACAAAGAGTCTGGGGAAAGAAGGCAGGAAAGGGGAGAAAAGAAGGTGGGAGAGGGAAGGGGGAAACCTGGGAGGAGGGAGCTGGAAGGGGGAAGCAAGGGGAAGAAGGGGGAGGGGAAGCTCAGGGCTCAGGGTTGGAGGTCTCACCAGACCAACTTGATTGTCATGCAAACCTGCTCCTGGGTTTGCATGTGGCCTTTGGTGGCCAGGCTGGCAGCTATCCTGCCAAAGATGGCCACAGAGATCATGTACGTTGGGGGCATTCCTCTCCAAACCTGAATAAGGTCCATGATCTCCACCCTGGACGAGGAAGGTGCCCGCCTTCTCTGGACCCTGGCAGGCTCCTGGGAGCTAGCAGACTACTCCTGGGGAGCAGTGGAGGACTGGCTGCCAGTGGCTTGCTGGCTCATGTTTTGGGGCCACTGGGTCGGGGCAGTGACTGCTGGCTCTGGGCTGGCTGGCTTGGAGCTGGCACAGGCACTATGGCCAGAGTCTACCCCGTTAAGGGCTCCGGGGAAGGGGGAGGGAGAGGAGTGTTCTTGGTTGGAGCTGGAGTGGCCACCAAGGCACCCTGGGAAGGCTGGAGGCCCCCTATTTCGAAATAAGTGTCTACACAGCACTTATTTCGAAATAGCTATTTTGAATTTGGCATTATTCCTCATGGAATTAGGTTTACCAAATTCGAAATAAGCGCTCCGCTATTTCGAATTCATTTTGAAATAGTGGTTTGGCTGTGTAGACGCTAGGAAAGTTATTTCGAAATAAGGGCTGTTATTTTGAAATAACTTTGCTGTGTAGACATATCCTAGGGCATCACTTTTCCTTTTAGATAGAGAATGGCTTTCCTAAAAGAGATGGACTGACAATATTTTCCAAACGAAATAATCTTTTATTTACTCCTCTAATCCGGTTTTTGTCCTGCAGTAATAAGTTCCTGAATGCAAGTGTGCTGATTTCCAGGTTTACACCACCTTTTTCAGTCCATCACTGGAAGCTTGCATTCTGGAGTACTCTCAAAGCTTACTTCTCATTCACTTCCTACAGCACTGATTCTTCCTCTTCTTTCTTTATTGTTGTTTTTACTGTTAACTGCTGGTTTGGGGAAATCTCAGTGATGCACAGTAACTTCTGGATTGGCTTTCTCTCTCTAGTATTACACCAACTCCAGCTCAAGCTTCCACACCTGTGGTGAGTAGCTTATAGGGTGTGACGGGGTGGGGCCCGCCTACCCCCCCGGAACGGGCCCACCCCGCACTGACCCGGCGATTGCCCTCTCGTTGATGGGGGCCGCCCGACGAGGGCTGCGCGCATGCCGGCTATGTAGTGCGGCCGCGCGTCTGTTGAGCAGCGGGTCAGCAGACGTTGCTAGGCAACGTCAGACGCAGGGCCGCGGGGAAATGGCGGCCGGAAATGACGCCAGCGACGGAGGCGGACATAGGGGGGGGAACAGGAGAGGCAGGGGAAGGAGGGTGAGGGAGCAGGTGGGAAGACGAGGGAAGAGTAGGAAGTCATAGGTGGGGTGGAAGTAGCCCAGGGCAGGGCGATGAGCCGGCGCACCGGCGGATTTCGGGGGTAGACCCCCCCCGGTGGGACAGATCCTGGCGACACTGTCCTTAGGGCCCTGGGCTGGGGTCTGAGAGTGAGGGTGGGCCCAGACCCCCCACCCCGCATACCCCAGCAGAACAAACTTTGTGTACTGTGGCCAATTGGTCACTTAGGAGCGTGTCAAGGTAGCATAGGGAAGAGGGGGCGGGACTGGATCCCCCACACGGCTATACAATGCCCTCTCACAAACATCTCACCCTCTCCTTGCTTACATTCCCTGGAATTTAAATTTTCATTAAAAAATTCTATCCTACAAAGTAACTATGTAACTGATAATTAGCTACTCTTTGCAGGTTTAACAAATTTCCACTAGAGGCTAAAATACTCGTTATCTCCTAAGCCTATATTTAAAGAGATCTGGTCTAGTTCAATTAATAGTAATAATAATACTTTGCACTTCTATAGTACCCTCTGCCTGGGCAACATGGATTTAGCACAGTAGATCATATCTCCTTTAATATACTGAACTAATGGAAATAATAAATCTCTAGACTACCTTCTAACTTCTACTTTCAGTCAATTCTGTTTAAGAGAAAGAACAGAATACTTAATAGTGTTTCCTAGCTAAAGAACTTGTTCCTCTTCATCTATACTATAGAAGAATAGAAAAAGGTATCTGCAGAAATCTAGTTTCTTAAAATAAGTTTATTCTAAAAGCTTAATATTTTTCTATTTATTACAAAGTCAGAAATAATATGTCTTACCAGCATTTTTGAGTGTGATAAAGCCGTTCGTGGTGGAGGGAATGCATAATCTGCTGTTTCCAAATCAGGGTGTAAAACCTAATTTTTTTTAATTAATGAAAATTATTGTTACAAAGTGAGTACAAATTAAATTGTTAACTTTTCCCCTGATCTTATACACTTTTGTTAATAATCATTGCATTGCAAACACTTTAAAAATGACGTACATACAATTAAATCCTAAATACTACAGAGATTAGAAATTAAAATGCCCTTGTTTGATTTTTGGAATACAGGGAGTGTTTATAATAGATTTTAGTAAGTGTTGAAAGCTAGACTTGCCATCCTAAGTGTCATAATCAGTACTGTTAAAGTTTATGTCATCACCATTATCTCTCAATGGTTTGATTTGCAACTACTGTATTGCGGAGGCTTGTAACTACACAATTTAAATATCTCTGGGATGATATTTTTGAAAAAAATTCTAAACCCAGAATGGAATTTTTTGGAATAGTGTTTTAGGTTTTTATTCATTTTGCTTTTTTAAGTGGTAAATCCTAATTTAGCTGTTGTGCACAAAATTATCTTTTATAGAAGTCAATAGGAGTTTTATATAGATATTTGCTGGTAGGACCAGAAGAGAACTTAACTTACATTCATTTAAATTACTTTTGCACTTCTGTATCTAGAAAATGGACTACATTTTCAGTGAGATTTGTCAAATCAATAAATACATATTTTTATTGTTACAATAACAGTTACTTGTACTCCTTGAACATCTTTTGTCCAACCATCTCAAAGCATTTAATAAACATTAAGCAAGAGTCCAAAATCCTTGTGAAGTAGAGAAAAATTATTACCCTGATTTTACATTTGTGTTAGCTGAAGTAAGGAAAGTTATTTTCCTAAGGTCACAGCAGAAATCTGTGGCAATCAAGAACATAATTCATTTATCCTGCATCTCTAACTCAGCATGTCAGTAATAAACACAATAACTTTCTGCTGGAGAGTATGGTCCAGATTTTCAAATGTGACAAGTGATTTTGGGTGTTCAACCTGATACACATTAAAGGGATGGGGTTTTCATACAATGATGAGCAGCCGTTCTAAGATGTTTTGAGTTAAGAGCCCCATAACCAAAGCAATATTATTAGTCACTTGAAAATCTTGGGCCTTTTACATACTCTGTTTAAAATTACTGTGATGGGGAGTCAGCACTGCACTGGCAAAACAAGGGTTAAACCTAGACCTGGGAGAGGGCTGAGATTGTGGAGTCCGTGGCTGAGGCAGATAGCAGTCAATTAGGGCCCTGCTAGGATATTTTAAGTAAGGAGCTCCTGGAGTGGAAGAGAGACACTTCTGTTTCAGCTATGGAACAAGAGAGACATGGCTGCCAAGGAAGCTACGGAGGTTTCCTGAGTCAAGAGTAGTGTTGGGGAAAGGCAGGAAAAAACAGGGAGCTCTGGCCAAGCAAACTCCCAGGCTGAGGCATTGCTCTCAAGGACTAAGAGTGCCAGGGCTGCGGGGAGGCAGCTGGAGCAGAAGAAGGCAGCAGGTCCACCACACCCCTTGCCTGTGAGAGTGACCATTTCAGATTGCAGTTTGCTCCTGAGGCAGGAACTAGATGATGACTGGCAGTGGGTCACTGAGGCAAGGTAGACATAGGGTATTTGGGGTTCTCTAGGAGGAGAGGACCCCAGAGTGCAAGGGCACTGCCACAGAGCAGCACTTGGAGGGAAGAACACCATTGGCCAGGAGAAACTTGAGGCCTGAAGTAACTCAGAGGACAGGTAACTGAGGGCGAGACACTCATCGGCAGAGTGTGCTGCAAGGCTGAAGAGCTGATTCCATCAGTAACCAGCAGGAGGTAACAGGGCAGTGGGTCATGACTGGTTACATACTGACAATTAAAGGTATCTCCTCAGTTTAAATGCTGGTGCTAAGCTACTACATCAAAAACAAAATCTAATCTCACAACCACAATCTGTACCCCTACTCAATTTTCTGTCGATTATTTTCTTTTCTTATTAGAGTTAACATTTTTGCCTGAACCACACATCAAAGCATGCACATGAAATGACCATGGATGAGCTCCATTGTGGACAACCCTATAAAAGAGAAGTGGAAGGAAAGATGGAAGGAATGAGGAAAGAAAATAAAATCTCTGTCAGGAAATCAGTCACCATATGAGGTTGGCCCTATTGGTCAGACTGGAAATTTTGACACAGAGATTTCTAGTTTTTGATAATGAAAGCTAAAGGCAATTCCTCTGACAGGAAGCTTCTGGCTTGTGTAATGATAATCAAACATTTAAAAATATTTACTGCAACTGGTCACCTCTTCTTTTGCCAGGCATCATGGCAATTTAAAATTAAAAGGATTCTTGGAATTATCCATTCAATTGAAAGGTACTCAAAGTAAATTGTAATAATAATTACTGAAAATTAAGCTATTTTATTACAAGTTGGACCGCCCTGGTTCAGCACCCTTGCAATCTGACCAGTTCTGAATCAGGGGATTTTCCAGACCACAGGAGGTCCCTTGCCACTGGCCTCCCAGCCTGCCTCCACCCTCCTGACCCGTACCTGGTCAGCTGCCCCCAGGCTTGGATTTGTGCCCCAGCTGCCCCCTGTACCGGCTGGGCTGGGGCTTTCCGGCCATGCTACCCACATCCCCCTGTCATGGGGTTCCTGGCTGAGTCACCAGCCCCTATACTGCGCTCCCAGCCTCACCACAAGACCTCCATGTTCCTGGGCTTTGTGGTCCAGTAACATCAGCGGTCCTGTTGGACCATGGATATTGCCAGACCAGAGAGTGCCTGTTTAGGGAGAGACAACCAGTAGAACAAAATATTTAAACCAAGAGTGATTTCCAAATATACTATTAGGGAGAAAAAGATCATTCTCCCTATCTCAGATGTTAAGAAGTCACATGGTATAAATGAAAGAAATCTTAGGATATTAGTTACAAATCTTAACAAATCTTAGTGGAATTAGTTACAAATTAAGACAGATTAACAGGTCTTTTAAAAAGAGTTTTGTTAATATAGCCCTGTGTGCAATTCTAGTCATAGGAAGGTGAAAGGCATTTTTTCTAAAAGGAGCACAGAGAAGGGCACTAAGGTTCATTTAAGGCCCGATCCAGCATCTACTATGTCAAAAACAGAGATCCCTTTGATTTTGCAGCACGGATCAAGTACTCAGGGACAAGTAGTAAAGACTCTTTATGAGAAAAGACTTAATGAAATGAATATACTGGGTTCAAACTTAATCCTGTCATAAGCTTCAATGGCTTCATCATAATTAAGCCCAATTGCACAAAGACAAGTTTCTATGTAAATCTAAATATTTAAGAGGAAAATATTTAAACATTCAATATCATGTCTGGATATATCTACATATAACAAAATTTGTAGTATAAAAAGTATTTACAATATTAACACACAATGCATTTAGGAATTAACTCATCTTGCTTTTAAATCTTCATTGGTCATTTTAAAAATATTTCATATATTCAATATTTTATTTCTTCTGTTTACATCTTTTAAAAGTGCTGAGCAAATGGATCAGGAAATGAGACATACTAGAGAAAGAGCTGTTTGAGTTTGATGTAGCAGTGGCTCTGGGAGCTGAGATAGATTAATACATTCAGGAATTTTAATTGTGCCTCCATCCAGGTCTGCTATGATTACATCCAACTGAAAAAGACAAATAAAAACTTCACATACAGTATGTTCTGTGATGAACACAGTTAAAACACCAACAAGGTTGTATTTCAGATTTTAGACAGGATTTTCCCTAAAATGAGTGAAGGCAATATTACTTCACAACTCATGAAGGAACTTGAGCACCAATAATATTAATGAATCATAGAAAGTGAGCGATTAAGGCCAAACTTTCAAGAGCGACCTCTAGCTCTGGGTACCTCCATTTTTAGATCTCCAACTTGAGATAATTTATGACTGAATTTCAAAAGTGCTGAGCATTAACAACTACAAAAATGGAGAACTGAAAAAAACCCACCTTCTTCAGTGGATTGTGCAATGAAAGCTCATGATACTATCTATATTTTTTGGTTAGTCTCTAAGGGTATGTCTACACTGCATTCCTCCTTTGAGAGAGGAATGCAAATGCAGCTGAGCAAAATTTCAAATGAAGTATGGATTTGAATTTCCTGTGCTTTATTTGAATAATTGCATCCGGAGCTATTTCGAAATACCTTATTTCGAGATAAAAAATGCCGTGTAGATGTGGTTATTTTGAAAGAAATACCTTCTTTCGAAATAACCATTAAACCATAAGGTTTTTTTTATCTCGAAATAGGGTATTTTGAAATAGCGGCCAGACGCAATTATGCAAATGAAGCGTGGGAAATTCAGATCAGCACTTTATTTGCAGTTTCACTCGGCTGCATTTGCATTCCTCTGTCAAAAGAGTATAGACATACCCTAAGTTGTTACAGGACTACTTGCTGTTTTTAAAGTTTTTTTTAGTTACAGACTAACATGCCTACTCCTCTGAGACTGCAAAAATCAAAAGATACTCTAGAAAAATTTTGGTCTAATTGAATTGCCCAATGTCACAACAGAATTCTGATGCAGAGTTAGAAATCTATTCCTGTCTCGACTTCACATCCTGCAACTTAATCTCAAAAACATTCTTCTGAATTTTTCTTTCCCTCACTCCATTTCCCTCTGACAGCTTGTAGATGAACTGACAACAGGTTAAATTAGTTGGTGTGCATGTGTAGGGGTTGTTTTTGTTTCTTTTTGCCCATTACTTATTGTCCTGTTTTATCTACTGGTACTTTGCATGGACATGAACAGCTTAAATTAATAATGCTTGAAGCACAAAAAATTCTCAACACAAGGAAAACATTTGACCAAGGCCATCTCTAGGCATACGCAACATATACAGTTGTATAGGGCACTGGAAAATTTGGGATATCAAATTTTCAGTTACCCCTACACAGATGCATATGCTGTATATGTAAGAGGTTGCTCTGAGGTGGTTGGCTGCATTCTCCCTGCCTCCTCACCACTCAGGCCACCTTTGGGGGCAGCCTCAGACTTTGCAGCTCTGCTGTGATCCCCTTGACACAGTTCCCATCTCCTCTCTGCACTCTTGGGTCCCTGTGAGTCCTGGAGCATGTGCAACTTCCTCCTGTCCTGTGCACTTGCCCCAGCTCCAGCACTATCTGAATGCAGAGGCTAGGGAGTGCGGGGGAGTGGGACCATGCTGGGAAGAAGGCAGTACCAACACCCTGATGGCGGCTGAACTGTGGGTGCTTCTTTTCCCCCTCAGCTCAGGCCCCAGGGAGCAGCTGGAGACCTAGTTCCCTAAATCCCATTCCCCCCATCAGTACTCCTGTGGAAGACTCACTTCTCTCTGCCCTGTTTTTCCCCCACTCCCACCAGCACAAGCACTTCTGGAAGAGCCTCTGTTCCCACTGGCCTGTTCTCCACCACCACCACCAGCACCCTGGGGAAACCTGGTTTCCTCTGCCCTATCTCTCCCCACCGGCACCCCTGGTCTAGGGAAGGATGTGGGTTGGGTCCAGTTCAGAGGGATGAATAATGACATTGTAAATAAACATATTAAAGTTTTTAATAATTTTGTTTTAGAAGTGTTGTAAACAGTTTTGAAATTTGCCCCAATTTCAAACAAAATTTTAATTCAAGCCCCGATAGTTCATATGAGGGGCTCTGTGTGGGGCAGACAAGTGGGTGGGTGGGTGGGTAGCAACCCTGCTTCTGAGTGGGTTCTGTCCAGGGACTATGTACCCTCAGCACGCTGAGGTCAGTGGGGCACCAGGTTAATATCCCTGCATAGGGTCCCATAAATCCTAAGGACAGCCCTGAATTTCACATAATGAATGTATATATTCTTGTCAGGCATACTTACAAGCTCATGAATGTCAGCACAAAAGATGGAATGTATACCAATAATAAAAGGCGTTGGTGAACTGAGAACTTCTAGCAGCTGTGCAGGGAGAATTGGAATATATGGATAACTATGAAGAGAATTAATAAAAAGTTAATGCTTTTTGTCTTCCCCATTGCACAAGTCTTTCTTCATCTTCCTGACACTTATAACTACTTTAAAATTTGTGAGTTAAAATTCTGGGGCATTCAGTAAGTACATAAATTATTCAGTACGTGTTCAAAGTTATCAGGACATGAAAATGTAAAGTAGTCCATCGAAACCTCAGCTATTAACACAAGAGGCTTGCAATTCCTTTATAAAAATCTATCACAAATAGATAAACTGTTTTTGAATATGCATATAAACGATGAAGAAACAATGAAAAGAATATTCAAAGTAATCTGTCTATATAGGTTTCTTTATGGAGCCCATTAATGTGATAAATGTGCACAAAGAGATTATGATTGCACTAGAGACAGATCTGTTATGGAGTGTACACTAAGTTTTTAAAACATAATATGTTTGAAGTAAAGCATGCAGAATAATATACAATGCTAATTACTGCTTTTGTATAGTGTCACATATTAACAACATTTTGTAGAGCTGTGTGATGCAGTAGATGATGTAGAACTTTATGATATTTACTTAGGACTAAATTGAGAATGTTACTTGTGATCTGAGTCATATTTACACATGGATCAATATTAAAAAACATTTGTATCACCAGTGACACATATCTCTGAGTTTGATTTTCACATGGGAAATTCCACAATGATTTCAACATTAAGGAACGATATTTTACAATTAACTTTCAAATCTGTTATAAAGGTTTTCTAGTGTTGTATATTAATATTTGCCCCAATTTCAGACAAATATTTAATTCAAGTCCCGATAGTTCATATGAGGGGCTCCATCGGTTGAGTGGTGAGCAGTGTGGGCTGTCTGGAATATTTTGAAGAAATACAAGAACTCTGCATACTCAAAATTAGAAGTCTCTTTTGCAGACATTTAGATTAGAATTAATCTTTCGTTTGTGCAACGAAGGCTATATCTACATTACAACTGGAGGTGGACCTGCAGCTCAGGCAGGCACACACACACATTACTTTTGATCTCTCTAATCTAACTATAAAAATAGCAGTGAAAACACTGTGGCACAGACACCAGCATGGGCTAGCAATGTACATTATTTAAGGTTCCAAGGGAGCTTGTACAGCTTGTGCTGATGCGTCTTTGCTGCTGGGCTTAGCTCTGCTAAGTAGATTAAAGCTAGCACAGGTATGCATACTTCAGCTGTGATGACGCTGCTGACTGTTGCCATAGATTAACTTTTCATCTAAAAATCAGGGTTTGGATGTTACTTTTTTGTAGAAACTAATTTGTTGATTGCAGGGCAGCCCACAGTGGGCATTTGTCCACAAGAGGGCCAACAGCCTTGCTGGACTCCTGGGCAAGGTTGGGCATGGGGGCAGCTCCATGCTTTCAGAAGGGGTGGAGCCCTGGGCAGAATGGGAGGGACTAGGACAGCACATGGACCATGTAATGCTGCACTGCATTGCACCACCTGCACTGCCAGGTAGTCCTGAAAGCTTCCTGGAGTGCACTGCATGGGGCTCCAGTGGTGATTTAAAAGGCCCAGGTCTCCAGTCAGTTGCTGCTTCTATAGAATCTTCAGGCCCCAGGGCAACTGTCCACTTTGCACCTCCCCTGTCAACAGGATTATCTGTCTACATTACAAAACTATAGAATAAAGTAGCACAAGTGTCAGCTTCTGCTAGTGGATCATTAGTGTATTGGAAAAAGGGATTTACAATCAGGTAGCATTGTTGGCAAGATGTCTGCACTGTATTTTCATTAAATTACATACAATTTACGTTGAAATGGATTCAATAAGATTTTGACTGATGAAGTATACAAACTGTAAGACCAAATGTCTCTTCCCAAAAGCCTTTTCTCATGTGGGTAATTCTTATTAATGAAAACAGTTCATTAATTTCAATGGTGCAACTCATATGAGTGAAGGTAACTTCCATACAAACTAGTTTTCAACATCAAGTACAAAGTTGTGTAATAAAACTCACCTATATTTGAGAGGAAACATTAAGGACTCCAGTGCTCTACAGGCATCACTGAGCCGCTGAAAACTTGCAGAATGAAAGAGAACCTTATTTTCTGTAAGGACTGCACAGAACAAGCTCAGCACATTTTGGATTCCTTAAAAAAAAAAGTGTTTTACAAATTATTAACCCATAGCCAAAACAGAAAAATGAAAATGAAAAATTAAGAATTACTGGAGTCAGTGGAGGAAAATTTGTGATAAGTATGCAAATGCCTTAGTCTGTGATTTTTCTGCTTCTTAATTTTGTTTTCTATTTTTCAAGTTGGTATAACACCCACTGAATATTTTCCAGTAGTTAAAAAAGTTTCTATTTTACCACATTTTCTATCCTATTTCCAAGAATTTTCTCTTCTGAAAACAATCCTAACAGTGCCTAACAATGGCCTCAGTGCTTAACAGTACAGGTTGAACCTCTCTAGTCCAGCAACATCCGTGGTCTGGCATGATTTTAAAGTTATCCTGACAGCCACTTATCATGGTTGTAGCCAAGTTTTCTGCAGTTCTACAAAATTTGTTTACAGCTACCAGTCCTGGCTCTCAGTGTTCTATGCTGTTATTTAGCTCTAATTTACCTCTAAATGTCTTCTAAGAGCCCATTAAGCAGTGGAAGTGTTGATCATGCTGCTAGACAATATTGACCTCCAGCAGTTTGGCAAATTCTCTGGTTTGCTACTGGTCAGGTCCTGAAGGTGCCCGACTACAGAGGTTCAACCTGTATACAAAAGTAAACATGTATGTAGAGCCCATTATTAGTGGTTGAAACAGACTCAACTTTTGAATCTGTATGTGGGGTCTCAGTGACTACAGCTTTTTGCTGATTGTAGACAAAGAATTCATGAAGTTTGTCTGGTAAACATACTTTTATCTGTAAAAGAGTTTTCTGTGAGTCATTAGGTTAAACAAAGCGCAGTAAGGGCTGTTCATGTGATTGGACATTGGTAAAGAGGCACTGACAGTTTAACAATTTCTGCAAGATTGAGGACAATGCACATGAATCCGACTTAACTAGTTTTGGCAAAATACTGCTGACCAGTAATGCACTTTTTTGTGGAAGACCAAAAATGCATTTCCTTTATAGCAAAAAGGGTCCTTCCCTTTTAAATAGATGGACCTTTCAGATATGCTAGAAAAAAATTAAATTTCCTGAGAAATGCTGGAATTCATACAATTTCCTGAAGACATAAATGTCTTGTCATTACTGATGCAAGGTTTCTGGTTATCTTTCTAATAAAATTTACTGGCAATTTTCTGTAATTTTCTGTAACAGTATTTTTGCCTAACAATTTTTTATTTAATGCTTCTTTAAATCAATTTATATTTACTGCATCACCAGTAAAATCTGTTTCTTAAAAAAAAAAAAAAAATTTGTAGCCTGTTACATTGGCCACTGTTGTGTTTCTTGAGATGTATTTAGACACCACCCTTCTGTTGGAATAAGATATGGAATTTATACTACACACATTGCATAGCTTATTCTGAGTCTAGGTCTAAAGAGCTTATTTTGAAATTTGGTGCTATGTAGACAGTGCCAAATTTCAAAGGCACTATTCCGACAAATCCCTTAACTCTCGTGGAAGGAAGGTTACAGGGACACTGGATTAGCAGGAACGTTTAAAGACGTGGCGTTACTATTTCAGGATACTTTTGGTCTAGACATACCATTGGAGACAAAGAACGTCATTCTGATTTCTCAGAGGGCTGAGTCAAGAGTAACATGATTCGTGTTTACAAACTCCATCGACATAGTACTAATAAGGTACTGACACAGGAAATTTGGAAAAACTCAAGCAACCTGAAGGGTAGTAAGACTTGTTGTAAATATGAATGCAGAACATTTTATTTGAAAACATGGATGATGGCCTCCAATGTTTGTATCTAATGAGTGTACCAGCAAAGTCACTTTTATATTCTGAAGAGTTAGAGTTACTACTCTTCTTCCACCTACCTCCTGGAATTAATCTATTCTCCAACCTACTGACAGTTGATAGAAAATAAGATTAGAAATATGCCTAGGTTGGCTGGAATTTCATATTTTTCTAGTTGAAGAAGTAAGTTATGAATCTGCAAATCTTATTTATATGGTATATTAACTCTCCAAACGTGTTTTAGTTAGGTCTTCAAAATATTTTAATAATAATACCGCTGTAAAATAATATGAATCTATTCCTTAATGGTGCAGCACCTTTAATAAACCAGGAAATTATTAGCTCAAAAAAGTTCTGAATAAGCTACTTGAACCCATATTTCCTTTCAGGTAGTTTCACTTACATACATACAAGTTTGGACAACATTCTTTAGAAAAAGGAAAGACTAATATTCACACACTTCATAATTATAGGTATTCCATGTAAGAAATAAAGGATTGCAGTTTCTCAATATAAATCATATATATCTTTCCAGCTATTTACTAACAGGATTATTTTGGAAGATTTCCAGTCTGAGGCTAGTTTTATTGTCATTTGCAGGAAATTGCTTGAGTGATTAAAAGAACCAATGTTCAGTCCATCTTCACAACCAGGTAAGCATTTGTATGGATTACTTGTTCATAGCTAACACATGGGCTGTGTCTACACTGGGCCACTTATTCCGGAAAATCAGCCGCTTTTCCGGAATAAGCTGCGAGCTGTCTACACTGTCCCTTGAATTTCCGGAAAAGCAACGACACTTTACTGTACAAAATCAGCCGCTATTCCGGAAAAACTATTCTGCTCCCGCTCGGGCATAAGTCCTTATTCCGGAACACTGTTCTGGAAAAGGGCCAGTGTAGACAGCCCAGTAGTCTTTTCCAGAAAAAAGCCCCGATCGCGAAAATGGCGATCGGGGCTCTTTTCCAGAAAAGCGCGTCTACATTGGCCACAGACGCTTTTCCGGAAAAAGGGCTTTTCCAGAAAAGCAGCCTGCCAATGTAGACGCTCCTTTTCCGGAAAAACTGAAAACGGAATAGTATTCCATTTTAAGCATTTCTGGAAATTCATGCCAGTGTAGACACAGCCATGGGGTATGTTTACACATCAAAGTTAATTTGAAATAACAGCCGTTATTTCGAATTAATGTTCCTAGCGTTTACACAGGGAAACTGCAATTTCAAAATAAATTCAAAATAGCGGAGTACTTATTTTGAATTTGGTAAATCTCATTCTATGAGGAATAACACCAAATTTGAAATGGCTAAATTGAAATAAGCGCTGTGTAGACACTTATTTCAAAATAGGGGGCCTCCAGCCCTTCCCAGGGTGCCATGGTGGCCACTCTTGGCCAAACCAGGAAAACTCCTCTGCTCCCCCCCAATCCCGGAGCCCTTAAAGGGGTAGACTCAGTTTGGCCACAGGGCCTATGCCAGCTCTAGGCCTGCCAGCCCAGAGCCTGCAGGCACTGCCTCTGACCAAGTTGCTAGCATGAGCCAGCCAGCCAGTGCCAGCCAGCCCTCCACCACTTCCCAGGAGCCTGCCAGGGGTCATAAAAGACAGATGCCTTCCTGGTCCAGTGCGGAGATCATGATCCCCGCACTAGATGGAGGAACGTGGCCGTCTACAGATGGATGGCTGACAGCCTGGTCACTAAAGGCCACATGTTCCACCAGGAGCAGGTGTGCATGAAAATTAAGGAGCTGAGGTAGGCCTATGCCAGGGCCACTGGGGGCAGCTCCCAACCAAGGGCAGACCCAGATCCCTTCCTCTACTTCGAGGCCCTGGACCACATCTTGGGGGGTCGGACGGTCCATGCCTCCCAGGTGGTCATTGTCCCTGCAGCAGAGGGCCCTGACCAGGGCACAGAGCAGTAGGAGGAGGAGGAGGACGATGCCGAGGAGTCGCAGGAGCCTGGAGGGAGCGTGGCACTCACCCTGGACACCCGAGGCATATCAGCAGCAATATCACCACTGTCTTCCGAGGCCGGGGAGGCCTCGACATGTGAGTGCCATCACTGTCCCCTTATGCGGGGCGGGGGGGGGAGGCAGAGAGGGAGCCCAGGGACCACATGTGTGGGCCTTGCTGAGCACAGATCACGCAACAACTTGTGCATGTGCTGTGCCAGCTGGGGCATGTAGCCCCAGCTGGCTGCCACACAGGAGCCCTGGCCTGTTACCCACACACCTGTATGTATGAAGGCACATGACATGCTCTGTACCCCGGGGAGGCACATTGCACAATACCCTCCATCCACAAGCCTCCTTTACTCAGAGACAGGGCACATCCCCCCCCCTCCCCACACACACACACACAGGGGCATGGGTACAGTCCTGGGCCAGCTCATACTCCTGGGGATAGCAGGACATGATGGTGCGGAGACCTGCTCTCCTCACCTTGCAGAGGGGGGCTGGGCTTCACCCACTGTGTCTCCAGGGATAACTCACCACCTCTCTAGCTTCTCCACAGCTGCACCAGCTGCGAGTGAAGGGCGCATCACCCCACCCAGGCCATCCTCCTGCATCCAGGCCAGCAGGCTCACCCAGAACCAGGAGAGATACCAGCGGCAGCACCTGGGATTGCTGCAAAGGCAGGTCCACAGACAGGAGCACTGGATGCAGGAAGACCTCCAGCTGTGGTGGGAGAGCTTGCAGGAGCTGTGTGACCAGGGCTGTGCCATCCGCGACCACCTGCAGACCATGGTGCAGAGATTGCTGCCTGCTGCCGCTCCAGCCCCTGCGGCCACCCCCGCCG